GGGGGGGGGCGCAGCCCCCCCGCGCCACGAAATCTGCACTTCCTCTCCAAAACCCGCGCCTGCCACGAAATCAACATTTTAGTGTGAACTCCCTGCCGCAAAAAAACCCTGCTAACCAACCAACCAACAGCCACCTGCCAGCGGCGCCAGCAGCAACCAACCATCTGACCACAACGTAGCATCCCTTTTGTGGGCCATCCGAGGTTAAAATTTAGAATAGGAAGAAGCCTATTGCAACGTGGCATGCCTTTTGTGGGCCACAGATACAGTTTAGAGTAGGAAAAAGCCATTGCAACGTAGCATGCCTTTTGTGGGTAAAATTTAGAAAAGGAAGAAGCCATTGCAACGTAGCGTGCCTTTTGTGGGCCACCCGAGGGTAAAATTTAGAGCAGGAAGGAGCCATTACAACGAAGCATTTCTTTTTGTGAGCCACCCGATGGTAAATTTTAGAGTAGGAAGGAGCCATTACAACGATTTACAACGTAGCATTCCTTTGATGGGCCATTCGAAAGTAAAATTTAGAAAAGGAAGAAGCCATTGCAACGTAGCATGCCTTTTGTGGGCCACCCGAGGGTAAAATTTACAGCCGGAAGGAGCCATTATATTACACTGTAGCATTCCTGTTATGGGCCATTTGAAGGTGAAATTTAGAATAGGAAGGAGCCATTACAACGCAGCATTAGTTCGAATTCGACTTCGAATCGACGATAATTTTTTCACTCCGGGGGGGGAACTAGTTCGAGTTTGAGTTCGAATTCCAATCGACGACAGCGATTTTGGAGTTCGACTCTTTCTATTCGTCCACTGGGTTGACTTCTAACAGTTCCAGTTCGAGTTCGAGATCGAGTTCGAGATCGAGTTCGAGTTCGAGTTCGGTTCCTTCCATATATATCCTTTCAAGGTTAAGTTCATCAATACTGTATAACTGTTTCAGTTCGAGTTCGAGTTCGAGTTCGAGTTCGAGTTCGAGTTCGAGTTCGAGCGGGGCACACTATGCTAAGGAGTCAGGAAGCGAAAGTGAATTGCCTCCTTCTCACATAACATGTGCTCAATGGGGATGTTATGGCTGTTATGGGACTATAGAGGGTACATGACCTATGCAGTTTTTGACTCAAAAACTCTGCGCGGACTCAGCTTGACGACCGAGGGGCAGTCCTGCAACATCACCTTGCTTTGCAAGAACCTCCTCATCTCCACAAGTTCTTTCCAGCAAGCCCCGGCCTCCAAGTCTCGAGCAAACACTTGACATCAGTTGACAAACAGTTCACATCTTTGATAGCTTTTGAACGGACTTTGATGCTTTGCAGCGCAATTTGCGGGGAGTTGAGTTCAGAGTGTTCCACTCTCCATTCCAAAGAAGCTCAAATCATGCGTCCTTCCGACAGGCTCTCCGTCCAAACGTCCAAAATCGTCCCAAACGTCCTCAACGCCCAGACCGGTCACTCGTGAGAATCGCCACGTGCCGCCCAGCTACACCAAAAGCCCTCCGTGGAGTTCATAGCTTGTAAAAAAATTCACGACAAGGCCCTCCAACACACAGACGCGAAGAATGAAGTCCAAGACCTTTTCTGGGAGCCGATGAATCACCAACATGGCTCATGATAGCTCATGGCTTCCAAACAGCCGACACTTGAGCTCCCCGAACTTCTCCCCCCTTTCCCGTGTCCCGCAAGGCACACTTCAGGTAAGCGGGCTGGGCGCTCTGCGGCAGCGTCAGCTCGAGGTCACAGCCCAGTCCGCAGCCCGCCAGGCTCAAGGACCGCAACGAGTGGCCGAGGCCTCGGTGAGAACGTCCGTCCGTCCGTCCGTCCGCAGTGCCCCCAAAAAAGCGTCCGACGCCGAGCCGGGGCCGCGTTCGGGGAGCGGTTCATACAAGGCCTGTTGAGAGCCGATGGAATGCACATGGGATGCACATGTTCGGACTGGTTCGTTCTTTATTTGGTTCCGTGTTGGTTCCATGGTTCCCGTCGAAGGTGAGTCATGACATGCATGCTGCATGAAGTCATCAATTCAAACCTTTTGCTCAACCAAACCAAGTATTGAAAGGATGTCCAAACATCCAAGCAGATCCAAGCAGAATGCTCCCAAAACTGCCTTAGGACTTCGGCCTCTTTTCAAGGACCACCTTCGATTGGGCCATGTCACAGCTTCTGCGCAAAGCTCCATAGATCGCCAGTGCGCTGCGATAACTCAACGCGATGCCTAGCGCCGAAGGGCAGTTGATGGCAGAATTGGAATCGGATTGAACCGTTCAAATTGTCCAACAAACATAGAACTTGCGTTTAAAATTGGAAGGGGCAAGGGCCTTAGGGCCTAAAGGGTGTGCAGTGCAAAGACAGGTTGAGCGCACACACCCGTTCAGCTTCTGCCAGAACCCAGGATCCCCAAAGTCCAGTCCTGAGGGATTTCATTCGAGGTAGTTTGTTGATGCTCGTCTCCAAGATCATGGTTGGGACATGCCTCACATGTTCACATGTGGTCCATTTCAGATAGAGAGAGGACGAGCGACTGGATTGCCTTTTATCTCACACACACACACGCCTCAATTGGTGCGACTGGATTGGCTACATCCGGTGCTTGTTCAGCTTGTTCCTTGTACTGATGGGTTTGGAGGAATTTGAGCACTGCGCGCATCTCACTATCATCTCACTCCAGACTTCCAGCAGCCTTGACAAACCCTCTAATCTTGAATCCATCCCCACACTGCACTGAATTGACTCACGGGATGCTCAAACCAACTTGGCCCATGGCAGCCATGGCATTGGCATGTGCCTTTTGATTGGGTCGCTATTAGGCCGGAAGCCATCGCTAGCAGGTTGGAGGCCATCGGTAGCAGGTTGGAGGCCATCGGTAGCAAGTTGGAGGCCATCGGTAGCA